CCTGCCAGAGGTCGAGGCTCAGCGCTGCGGGCGAGGGCTGGGCGTCTGTGCGGGGCCCACCTGGCCGCCAGGGGATGACGCCACGACATACCGCTCTCTGCCTGGCCCTTGGAGTGGGGTGTCTCAGACGCATCGGGGGTGTCTCTGGGCTCGGCTGCTCTCCTGCAGGTCCTCGTCTTGGTGGGCAGCTCGGGGGCCTGCAGCAAGGTGCTCACAGCCCCCCGCATGCCTTGTTTACCCAGCTCCTTCTCCACTTCTAAGGACAAACAAAAAACCAGCAGCCATCAGCGATGGGGCTGCCTTTTTAAGATGACAGTGGGCAGTGAGGCGGTCACAGAAAAGGGTTACGCATGCTGAAGAAACAGCACTTAGCGTTCTCCAGACCTCGGTGAGGCTGCTGGAGGCAGAAGGCCAACACTGCTGAGCCAACAGGGGTTCCTGTGTTCCCCGCCCGATGTGACCCTCCGCCCGCAGCGGGGCCCAGATGCACTTACCATCTGAGATGCTGGACTCCTGGAACATAGTTTCAAAGGCCTGGTGGATTTCAGCAAAGGAGGGCCGGTCGGAGGGATTCCACTGCCAACCTGGGCAGATGAGGCCAAGTCAGACGCCTGCCGAGGACAGGCCACACAGGCTGTGGCAGCAGCTCCCTGAGCAGCCCGGAAACCAGAGGATCCCCACCTGCGAGCACCTTACACTACGACAGGTCAGAACGACACACGCCACCAGATCTCAGGACGTTCTAACAGACACACGGATTACTACAAAAACTGGATTTATAAATGTAGTTTCCCAATCCCACTCTACTAGGCAGAGAGAGTTGTGAAGGCAAATAGCTTGTTTCTGCCCTGTCCTTACTCTGTGGTTACTGAAGTCTAACACCCTCCTAAGAGAGGAAACGCTAATTAAAAGGAGGCTGAAATAAAGATGAAAAGGGCTGAAAAGAGCCCACTGCTGCTGAGGGTGTGAGGCACTCGACAGCCTTCTGATGGGAGGGTGGAGCGGGTTAACCTCTTCTGGAAGACAAGTCCGTAGACGTTACCGAGGTCTAAAACGCACCGTTCTCTGAACCAGCGGTTCAGCCTCTAGAAATGCCCGCAGAGCACGCAGTCGCACCGGCTGTGAGGGTGCTCGTTCAGGCCTTGCTTGTGATGGCAAAGACCAAACGAATGTGCGAAGCAACCAAATGCTCATCCCAAGAGGGTGGGCGAAGGAAGGGAATCATAACGGGGCACGAGGCAGCTACTGACAATCCGGTGGGAGTGGAGGGCAGAGGCCTGCGTGGGTCACGCGGAGAGGGCCGCTGCGCCTCCTCCGAACAGGAAGAAGCCGAGGGCCGGACGGCAGGACACCGTGTGAAGACGGCGTGCGTCACAGAGGACGCCGCCAAACAGATGCACACAGACACACGCCCGCATGAGGGAGTAGACAAACAGCCAGGGCTCCGGCTGCTACAGCAGAGTATCTGGGGGAAGGACTGGGAAATCTATTAATAAGAAACCCAGGTTTCGTGCCCATCCAATTCTTGCTTAAACAATGAAACCCAAAGGAGCTCACGCGCCTACTGTCTTTGCGCAAAGGCACACAGACGGTGGAAAGGCCTGTGAAGTGCGCATCAGTGTTCCGCAAGCGGCCTGTGCGGATCGCGCAGCGCTGCCCCTCTGTGCACACCAGGGGCCTCCCACGCCGCCCACGCCACAGGCAGGCTGGGGAAGCTCACATGCTCGCATGAGTTCGTAGACCTTCTCCGGGCAGCCTTCTGGGCGCTCCATGCGGTAGTCTTTCTCCAGCAGCTCGTACACCTGGGACAGGTCAATTCCTGGGTATGGCGACATGCCATAGGTAGCAATTTCCCAGAGCAGTACCCCGAACGCTGAAAGAGGGAAGAGGGGCGGGAAGACGCGTAGGGTTTAATGCACTGCGATGGAAACTGCTCCCCTGGGCTGCAGGCGGCGGCGGCTGCTCCTCAGAAGCAGCCCCGGCAGTACCATTAGCCAGGCTCACTCTCGGTTCCCGACAGCCCAGGGCAGAACCATGCAGAGCGAGACCGTCCGCTCCCTAACACCACAGCCTAAACGCACTGTGGGGGACGACAAGGCTGTCAGCCCCTCGCCTTTCCGGAAGGATCCGTGGCATAAGCCAGACACTGCCTTCCACTCAGCTCCGTCGCTGGGGGTATACAGGAGCAGCTCCAAGGTCCCTCTGGACTCCGCAAACTTCATAAAAGGTGTATGAAGTCTTCCAAAGTTTGAAATCCACATTATGGCCTTGAAATCCCATTTCCACTGATGGAGCCAAGCTCCCTTGGAGAAGGCGGAGATTCAGGTCTTGGCAGGGAGGAACCTGGGCTACCTGGTCATAGAGCAGCTATGGAAGGGACCGCAAAGGCAACGCCAACAGCACGAGGAGCTAAGTTTCCAATGGCCAGCGCTCAGAGTCTGTACCAATGGGGAAACAGCAGACATGGACGGAAACACATCCAGATCTTGACATCCAAGAAACCTCTCTCTCTCTCTTTTTTTTTGGTACCAGGGATGGAACCCAGGACCTTGTGCTTGCGAGGCAGGCAGCACAATCACTGAGCCAAAGCCCCAGCCCTAGAAACCTCTTTTTTGAGGGTCTCACTGTGTAGTTCAGCTTGGCCTTGAACTTACTATGTAGCCCAGTCTGGCCTCAAACTCCTGGTGAGCTTCCTGCCTCAGCCTCCTGAGTGCTGGAATTACAGGCATGCGCCACCACCAAGAATTCTAAAGGACACCACAAAGACAACAAAGCCTAACTGGCCACCACCAGAGGGATGAGGAGACCAATGTGTAACGTAGAAAAGCGGCAAGGACAAGAAGCAAGCATTTACCCTGCCTTTCCTGCAGAGCCCACTGGGTGACAGACAGACAAGAGCACCGTCCTGTTCTCGGGTCCGGCTACCGAATGAATGAGACAGAACTGAGAACTGGACTTGGCAATCCCTGGGAAACCGGTGGGTCAGTACCGGGTTCCAACAGCTGTCTCTCACACACACCCCGAGGAAATCAAGCCTCATCTACCTTCTGACCCAAGAGCACATCTCTGCCTTCCCTCAGTGAAAGAAGCCATCCCAAAGGCGACCCGAGTGCCGGAGCCAGGGGCGTGCGATCGGACCAGGGATGCCAGGAGCAAAGCCCACAGTGCGGGGAACGTGAGGGACAAACGACAAGCGTCTTGACAAATTAATCAACAAGGAAATAAAGACGCAGAGTGAACTTGGGGGCTAGAGATTAATGTACGTCTTGTTGCCGGCGGCTCAGGTCTGAACTCCTTCATCCCTCCTGTGGTACCTGCACGACTGTCCCAAAACACAGGTGCCGCGGTGGCCACAGAGAAAGCCACACGTACTACCACGCTTTGTCACAAACCAGCTGCCTCTAAGTATAGAAACTCCTGGAGGAACAGTTTCAAATGTAACGCACATGTAATTTATTATTATAAGAATTTTTAAATTTGTACGAATAGTGTTTTTATATTTGGAGAGTAGTTACTCAAATAACTAGATTTGGTCCATTTATAGACTTTTATTAATTTTATTGTGAAAAGAGCAAAGAAGTGATTAGATGCGCTTGTACCACGGGTGGTTCCCGCCAGTGGGAACGTGTGGAGGGCAGAGCAAGCACTGCAGGGTGGGACCCCTATTTGCATCTCAGCTCACACTGTGAAAGGAAGGATTTTTGTGGCTCAAGTGGAAATCTGAATACCGCTTATTTGATAATATTCGGAAATCACCACCAAGTTTGGGGTAGCCTCATGGTTACGCTAACTGAACTCCTCTGTAGGAGACTCACAGTGAAATTTTCACCTGGGATTCACTTCAAAATAATACAGGTTGGCCGGGAGTGGTGGCGCACGCCTGTAACCCCAGCACTCAGGAAGCTGAGACAGGAGGATCACTGTGAGTTGGAGACCAGCCTGGGCTACACAGTGAGTTCCAGGTCAGTCTCAACTACACAGTGAGACCCTGCCTCAAAAAACAAAAAGGATGGTATGTTAAAATCAGAAAGTAAGCTACTCGACAATTCAGAAAGAAAAAGCACATTTTTTCTTCATTTTAGAAAGAAAACAAGAGAAACGATTTCAGAATGCAAGAAAGAAGCAAAGTAACCAAGATAAGTAAATTATGACGAAAAAGAAGTGGAGGAGGCAGGGGAAAGGGCGGGAGAGGCTGCTTGGCCAGCCTGGCCGTCCCGGAGGCAGGGGCCTTACCCCAGACGTCGGACTTGATGGAGAACTTGTTGTAGGCCAGGCTCTCAGGCGCGGTCCACTTGATGGGGAACTTGGCTCCGGCGTGGGCCGTGTAGGTGTCCCCGGTCATCAGCCTGCTCAGGCCAAAGTCGGCCACCTTCACCAAGTGGTTTTCCCCTACCAGGCAGTTTCGGGCAGCGAGGTCCCTGGGCGGGGACAAAGTTCACCGTGAGCGTGTCATGGAGCCACGGGGTGAAGGCCTGACGCAGGCCAGGGAGCGGCGAACACACCCTGAGCCCCCAGCTAGGGGAGGCAGCGGAGGGCGGGAGCAGGTCCCGAGCCATGACCTACACCAGTGAGCGAGCCTGGGCCCGGGACCCTTCCATGTCACAGAGACCACGATGACGCCGGTCTCCCGGGGTGGGAGGAGGGCGGGCCCCAGCCGAGCGTCAGTGCGGTCAGTCACGCTATGGCGGGCACGGGGACCGCATGCTCAGCAGTCTCCCGTCTCTGCACCCCAGCTGCAGCCTCCTTCACCCCTTCCTCCTGCCCGCCCTGAGCACCCCCTAACACCTCTCGGGCACAGCCCACTTGGGCGCAGCCGCGGACCCCCTGATCAGCAGCAATGAGAATTAAACAGACGAGTTCGCCTAAGATGATTTCAGGAAGCGCTGCCGGTCTGCCTGAATCAGAGCTGGGAATTCTCAAGGTGCAGCACCAGGGGCCCACGGTGCAGAGGGACAGGAGCGCCGGGCCTGGCGCTCACGGAGCCCGGAAATCTGCCTCACAAGGGGCTGCCGGCCCTTCACAGCACTGCCCTCACCCTCGCTCCGCTGTCTCCCGCACAGCTGTCCTACTTGACTTAATTGGGGAGGAAAGGTCAGAGCCCCGCGTGGAGAACGCCTCGCACAACAGACTGCGGCAGAGCCCGTCAGGCCGGCACTTTGCTAGGAAGCCACTTTCTCCCTCAAAACATGCGAGCACCAAGGTAACTGCGCACGCTTTTAGGTCACAGCACTCCAGGCTTCAAGCGGCAAAGGTGTGTCATTTAGCCTGCAGGGACAATCAGGGACCGTCCAGGGCCAGATGACAGTGGGCCAAGTGGGCAAGGAGAGGAGGAGGAGGAGGAGGAGGAAGGCCGCACGCTCTGAGAACGAAATCCACCCACTGGCTGTTACCACTGCTCCTGGGAAGAGGTCGTTAGTGACAGCGCGGCCTTGGGGGACAATGGCGCGGCCGGAGGGGCTCTGATCCCAGGAAGGAGCCCGACGAACGAACTCGATGCCCCACTTGGCAGAAAGTTTCCGATGGGCACGGCCCGGCCCAGGTGGATGGCACTGCGGGCCCGGGTCCTGGCCCGGCTCACCTCAGCCAGAGCAGCTTCATCAGGAGCCCCGGCCGGGCGCTGCCCGAGCTCCCGCCCGCAGCCAGGCCCCACCTGTGGATGAAGTTCTTCCTCTCCAGGTACTCCATGGCCGAGGAGATCTGCGTGGCCATGTAGAGCAGCACCACGGCGGTCACCTCCTGCCGGCTGCACTCCCGCAGGTAGTCCAGCAGGTTCCCGTAGGTCATGAACTCGGTGACGATGTAGAACGGGGGCTCCCGAGTGCAGACCCCTGCAGCAGACACGGGGCTGCAGCAGAGGCTCTTGGGGGCTTCCGGAGCCGATGCCTGCTGCTCCGCACCCAGGCCCAGCTGCCGACCCCGTGGCTCTGAGCCCTTGTGGCTCCGGTGTCCCTGGGGGAAGCACGGCCACGCTCTTCTCTTTCCTAGGGGAGAGGCTGCTGCTGGGTGTGGGGGCGAAGAGCAGGCCTCACGCCAGACAGCCGCGCCTGCAGGCCACGTCTCACTCCAGAGGCCCACGTGACAGTGGCGCCTGGCGGCTCCCGGGTCTCTGCTTCCCCTCCCAGCCCACGCGGGCCAGGCCCAGCTCTGCACTGACTTACCGAGCAACTGCACCAGGTTGGGGTGCTTGATCTCCTTCATCACTGCAGCCTCTTTCAGGAACTCTTCCACCTCCATGGTGTCCTCCTGCAGGAGGAAAGAAACATGGGTGAGCTCAGCAACAAGTGCGTAGGCGAACACAGCCGGTTCTGTGACAGGGGAGCTCGCCCAGAGGCTCGAGGGTTCCCCTCACCTGGGGCCACGCAGGCCTGCACGACCTGGCAACCTCTCCCAGTGGCTGCTATGCTCTGCTTCTCTCCTCTCCTTCCCCAAGTCCAGGTCTGGGTCTGTGGCCGTGGCCGGAGATCCTGTCATAGAGCCTGTGCCAGGCCCAAACTACCCAGCAGAACAAGAGCAGGCAGCCAGGAGATAACGGAGGACACGCTACTGCCACGTTCCCTGAGGTCGTCCCAACAGAGACTGAGCGGGGCTGGGGGAGGGTGTTGGTGGGGGTTCTTTGTTTTGTTTTTTGTGTGTGCCACTAGAGGTTAAACCCAGCGTTTTGACACTGAGCTACGATCCCTAGCTCTTTTGAAGCTTCTATTTTTGGGACAAGATCTTGCTAACTTGCCCAGGCTGGGCTCAAACTTGCGATCTTCCTGCTTCAGCCTCCCAAAGTGCTGCAATTGCAGGCAGTGCCATCACACCCAGCCAGGAAGGACTTTCTTCAAAATTAGGTCCCTTCGGGGGTCTCACTAGCAAACTGTCTATGAAATGCAGAACCTCAAACGCTGCTCCTGCCAGTGGTGCCCTCATGTGCGGCTCACTGGGGCTGCCCCACTCCTCGCCGTGACCGAGGACCGGCCAACCTCTGCTCAGAGCTTTCCTGTGCTGCTCGATCGCGTCAGCCACTGAAGTGCGTAACGAGGAGGCATCGCCCACGATCCCTTGGCACTCGGCATCCTTGGCGGTCACCACGCCGAGCCGTTTAGGGCCAGCTTGCTCCTGCCACCACCCCGCTGGCGGTGCCACTCTCCCCGGACCTCTCCTCCCACAGGCTCAGCAGTGTGTGCTGCTCTGGCGCAGCTCGGAGTCGGCAGGGAGAGGCACTGAGGCCGCCGGCCAGCACGGAGGTACAGGTGCTGCTCCCGCAGAGGGTCACCGACCGGGCTTTCTGAACCCTCCGGGGCCGGCAGCGTGTTCAGAAGTCACCCTGGAGTGGTGCTGTCTGGACAAGCGCAGTTTCCTTTTGTAAAGCCCCACGTACAAACCACACGGAGAAATCACTTCAGAAGCGCCATCTGCTTTCATAGCTGCTGACGCCCCTGAACGATCCATGTTAGAAAGCTCCGGGGAGACACGGATTTGCAGAAGGAACGAGGCTCTCAAAACACCGCGCTTCCTGACTGTCAGTGTCCCTCTCTCTCCACGCACACCTACAGGCACGCACAGAAGACACTCCTCCGTGTCATCCCTTCAGAAAGTCGGCGTGAATCTGTCTCCCCCTGCTGGAATCAGGCAGAGCTCCCTTTATCAGTCAGACGACAAGAGACAGCCTGGCAGCTGTGCTGCCCTGTGGTGGGCCTGTGCTCTCATGTCACAAGTCCACCATCCACTTGGGCTCGATCCCAAGGGCCACAAACATTTTTTCCCTCATCTGTTAAAAATTATTTTTGCTGGTACTGGGGATTGAACCCAGGGCCTCGGCCCGCTAGGCCGAGCACCTACCACTGAGCTACAGCCCCCCACGCCTTTTCTGAAATTGACGGGGTCTTGCTTGGGCTGGTTTCAAACTCTGGACCCTCCTGCCTCAGCCTCCACAGCAGCTGGGAGTGCAGGTGTGTGCCACCACCCCAGCGCCCTTGCCCTTCTGAAAAGAATTTGTCCACCCAGGGTGGGGCGAAACTCGCTCAGATGAGCGAGGGTGGAAGAAATGCGGCCACACACCAGGGAAGAGGTGGGTCGGCTGGGCTCTGGAGGTCTGACTGCTGGGCTCAGGTGTGGACGAACACCTGGGGGCACTGCAGCGGGGGAGAGGGGCCTGTCAGACTGACTGCCCTGGTGCCGTGGGACCGGTGACGCACTGATCCTCGCTAAACCTATGTTCGCACCTTTCTTCCCCCTCTCTCTCTCTTCCCTCTTTCACTTTTACAGTACTGGAGAACGAACCTAGGGCCTCTGCACTGAGCTACATCCTCAGTCTTTCTTAAATCTGAGGCAAGGTCTAACTTGCTGGGCTTGCAGTTGAGATTCTCCTGCCTCAGCCTCCCAGAGCGCTGGGATTATAGGTGTGCACCACCAAGCCAGGCTAAACCCGTTGTTCACAAAGAGAAGGAGAATCTGCATCTACCGCACATGCAAACAGCACTTGGTGCATTGCTGGATCGGGGTCGGCACTCGTCAGAGGAGTTCATGAAATCCATTATGACCAGGGCGGCCCTCTCTAACCCTGAGCAGTGGACCAGACCAGAAAACTGATTGCATGAAAGGAAGGATGGCTCCAGGGGACACTGGGTGTTTGTTTTTGTCTTTTTACTGACACAAACTCGCAGACTTGATGCCTCTCAGGTATTTTCTAATCAGCTTCCTCCTTTTGGCCTCACCCACAAGTGTAGTATTCAACAGCAAAAGAAAGAGCACTATTTTATTTTGTGGGTTTAGACAGGGTCTCACTATGTAGCCCAGGCTGGCCTCGAACTTGGGGCGACCCTCCTGCCTCGGCCTCCCCATTGCTGGGATTACAGTTGTGTGCTACCGCAATGGCTGTAAGAGCCCTGATTCAGAAATGGCTAAGCTCTCTGAGTCTTCCTTCTCAGCAGGAACCTTGAACCCAGAGCAAGATTTGAGCACAATTAGCTGGGTTTCCACATCTGCTAGGGGAGCGAGGTTACTGGCATGTGCAGCACCCACCTTCACCATCAGAGACCAGGAGCCTGTCAACCAGAAACGCTGGAGAAAAAGGTGGTTTTCTCAGCAGGATGGAGGGGTGTGGCGTTCACAGACCAGCGAGGCACCTGAAGCTCCAGAGATGAGCCCACGAGAAGCCACCTCCCACTGGAGTCCCTGGACGCTTGAGAGCCTGAAGTGGACACAGTGCCCTCAGAGCAGTGGCAGCTTGGAGGTGAGGAGCCCTAAGGCCCGTGTGTGTGACCGCCAGAACCGGGGGCTGTCACACCCTCCTTTCCTGCCACTTTCTGGAGTTCCCCAAGAAAACTACTTTCCTGAGAGAAAAAAAAGGAAAAGCAAAACCAAAACACTGCTTGTTAGGAGAGGAAACAGGTACTTTCTCAACACCAAACTCAGCCCCTGGAAGGTCCTCTGGCAGGTGATTGATCCATGGAGACCACAAATGCAGGGAGGACGCAGGTCACAGGACCAAGGGTCAGAGGGCCCCGGGTGCGCGCGTCACCTGTTCAGGAACCACACTTCTGCTGTTTTCATAGTAAATTTGCTCGTTAGCTCATGCGTCGATGTGAATGCCACAACCAGACCAAGAGTACTCTTTTCCAATTATTTACAGAACTTTCATAGAAATCACTTAACTTTTGAAACCCAGCTCACTAAAATGTGGGCTTCTTCTCCCCGGCCAGCCCAGCCCAGCTGAGTCCAGGTTCCTGGGCCTCACTTTCCGTTCTCTCCCTGCGACCTAAAGGTGCGGACGCTGAAGGCTCACTGTGGGCACCGGCTATGAGCACGGCTTGCTCCCCCTGCTGGCGAGTGGGAAGGGGACCCCCACCAGGACGGTCAGGCGGGGGCACAGTGGAGGGCATGATGCGCGGGTGGGCAGCTCTGTGGAGGAGGGGACACGTGACTCTCCTGAGGGTATCCCCACGGTGATCGAGGAAGACGGACCTGGGTTCCCACTGCGGAAAAGGAAGGTGGGCTCTGGAGTCCGTGCCTGAGCACCTGGCTCTTCTCCCGTCCCCCAGAGGATGGGGGTCACGTGGGGGGTCCATTGGCTTCTCACGGGTGAAGGATTAAGTGGGGTGCTGTATGGAACTCTCACAACTGCCAGGCACACAGCGAGCCTGTAGGTGACAGACATCAGTGTCCTTTAGAGTCCAAGTTCTCAGTCTCCAAAGTGAAGCTGCTCTTGCTGGACAAGCAGGCAGACTACCGTCGGAGACCATGGCATGGCTGGGCAGGGCCGCCTCATGCAGCAGAGGGGCGCTCTGCTGTCCTGGATTAGGTACCGCATGGGGCCCGTCTCTCCTCACTGATGGAGGCCGGGGAAAAGCACTGCACGTCTGGCAGAAAGGACGGCACGGGTGAGGCGAGCTCTCCGGCCTCTGGAGCACCTTTCCCTCTCCAGCAGGTAGGTTACGCGCTTGGAGCCTCCTCGCAACGCACTCTTTTCGAAGCTGACGCAGAGGTATGCTGTGCTCACGCCGCCTCGTTTTTGTGAACCCAGGCACCAGAGCAACACCTGGCCCTCCTTGCTCACCGCTGGCCAGGCCTGGGCCAGCTCTGCCCTGGAGCCGCACACAAACCTCTCCCTACATCCACAGGGCACACGAGGGGCGCGGCTGTTTTGTCCCATTCTTCTGGAGATCAGAACTAAACTGCCCACGCGTACCAGGGCAGAAGATGGTTTCACCACAGGGAGAAAACCCACGGCCTCTACACCAAGGCATCAATGGATCTCCCTCCGCAGGAGCGTGACTTACAGTGCCCGGCACCGAGTTCCAGGCTCTCAGCCCTGAGTGGCGCTGTGTCCCTCCGACCCGGAGCCCTGCGTGGATCCTCACTGGGTAACAGGACAGCCACCCCCGCTCTCCCTGTGCCTCCGCCTGCTCCTTCCCCAGGCCCCGCTCTCTCCCGCCCCAGTGCCAGCCTCTCCTGGTGCAAGTCTGTCTGCTTCTCCGACCACCTAGGAAGTCAGGGCCCGGCAGACAGAAATATTCATCACACTACCAAGTCCAAGGTGAGCAGCCACGCCTCCCGCTCCCACCGAAAGTGTCTGGCCAAGGGCCAACCTCACGGACCCTGGCCTCGGGAAGCCACTGTCCAGTTCTAGTAGGAGAGCGCAGCTCACTCTTAGAGCAGCCGCTTGGCACCAACCCAAAGGCTGCCCCAGTCCCCGGGGCCAGCCGCATGGTGGGCCTACTCTTCCCAGCCTGCGGGTTTGTTTTTTCTTTCCCAGCTCCAGAAAAGACCAGGTCAGCCGAGCTCACTTGGAACTAACGCTAGGGGGCGCTCTCCCGGGGCCCAGCCCCGGTCCCAGCCGGAAGATGGCACCGGATTGGGCGTGAACGCTTCCTTGGCCCTCGCTGATTTCAAAGAACCTCAATGGGAAGATAAGCTGCCTGGAAACCGCAACACTATTCTCGAGCGCCAGCCTGCAGCGGGAGGCGAGAGCAAGTCCCGGGCCTCGGCCCGCAGGGCCCACCGAAGGCCCTCCAGGCCGCCAGAACGATCCCCGCGACCCACCTTCAGGGTCTTCACGGCCACGGTGAGGCTGTACCTCTTCCACACGCCCTCGTACACCTCCCCGTACTGGCCGCCGCCCAGCTTGTGCTTCATGGTGATGTCCGTGCGTTCCATCTCCCACTTGTCGTAGTTGGGGGACACGCCGTAGACCGTGGGCTTGTTGCGCTTGGGCGCGGGATAGTGGAGGGTGGTGATGAGCCCGTCGGCCACCGTGGAATGGTGGTGAACCAGCTCGGCCAAAGTGTTGAAGCGGCTCTCGGAGGAGACGTAGAGCTGAGGGGAGAGAAAAAGCGGTCACCCACGGGGCACGGGGCCTGAGCCTTCCCGCTGCACACTGGGACTTGCTAGCTGACGCAGAAAGACACAAGGAAGGCCCCAGGGCCTTGGCACTGCTGCACCCCTGCCTGAAATCCATGCCCACCAACTTCCCTTCTCTGTGACCCTATCAAGAGCAGCTCAAATGTCCCTGCCCACCAGCCTGAAGTCACCACCTGAGTCGTCACTGCCCTACTTCTGTGTTGTACTGACCGCTAGCTGTTTCCTGTATATCTGCTCAACTTCTGGTTCCACCTACGTGCACGGAAGTTCCAGGAGAGCAGGCCCTGAGCTGTCTGTTCTTGTCCAATGCCGAGAACAAGAAATGAGTCCATAACAGGTGCTCAGTAAAGTGTCGGCATTGAATAGCAGGACTTGACAAGTAGTCGCTAACTGGAAATTAACTGATAACTGTGCATGGATAACGCAGACTGAAACAGTGATCACTGCTGCCCCTCCTTCCGGCTGAGCAGGAAGTGGCCTGTCCCCTGGGGGGCAGCCTCCCACACCCCAGGACGCCAGCGCCTCCCTGTCGCACTTTAACACACAAGCAGGCCCGTCTCTATCCCGGGCCCAGGTAGAGTCCTACTGTGCTGGTTCTCCACTGGACCCAACCGAGAGGAAGAGGGAGGCACGGGCTGGCAGAAGGCCCCAGTGCGGGTGGAGTGGCCACCTTTCCCTTTCTGTCCTCCTCCTCCCCTGGTCTGTTTCAGGGATACAGCGTGGGGCTGGCTCCTTACCAAAGAGGATTCTGCACTAAAATCCACACAGAACATGGGAGCCATGGACACAGAACTGAAGCTCCTGGCTTCGGTGGGGGAAGAGATGCTGGAAGTCTTCCTGGGTGCTCTGCAGACTTCTCTAAGCTGCCCAGGGGCCGGGAGAAGGAAGACAGTACACAGGGGGGATCCTTGGGGCGGAGAGGCAAGAGGGGCAAGAGGGGCGGAGGGCCAGGCTGCAGCTGCAGAGACTCAGTGCTTCTGAGCCTGAGGTGAGGTGGGAGACAGACCTCCGGCGGGCCACTGTTACAGGCTCGGCCTCTAGGTGGCAGTATTGCTGGGGGCGAGGCCCTCAGGTCTTGCTGAGACCTAGGAGCTGCTTGGGACCCCTGGGTTTAAGGACTGAGCCCGGCTCCACCTTCTCTGCTTCTCTGGTGCCAGATGTGACCCAGGTGAGGCCTGCTTCCTGTGCACTCTGCCACTGTGTGCTGGGGGCCCCCACCCCCACCAGCGCCCACTGACACTGCCTGGACCTCGGGCTCCACCCTGTGGGGCAGACCTCTCTTCTCCTGAAGTTACTGCACACGGTGCTTTGTTGTGGGAATGAAAACTAACAGAATTACTCTCTGTAAGTCTGTAATTGTTAAAGCATTTTTAAAAGGAGAAAGTGATAAAATGTACAAGTTGATCCCATCTGTGACCCTCAAGAAGGTAAACAGGATTTCTGTAATAGGGAGTTGTTTTTGTTTTTGTTTTTGTTTTCCTTTTTGCTTGGGGAGATGACACAAGCAATTTGTTTCTTTGCTGTTTTGGTCGTTCCAGGTATTGAACCCAAGGCGTTTTCTGTGAGTTACATCTTGAGACTTTCTGAGTTTTTATTTTGAGACAGGGTTTTGCTAAACTGCTCAAGCTGAGCTTGAATTTGTGATCCTCCTGTCTCAGCCTCCCTCCATGCTGGGAGTACAAATGTGCCTCCCACCCCTACAAAGTCTTTTACTAACAATCCTGTTAAAATAAAATTCTAAGAAACCCAAGATTTGTCCAGAAAGACTTCTCAGCGCTGAGAAACTCGTACCTCACACGGAGACTGGCCCTGGGCCCCGACCGACCCCGTGACAGTGCCTCGGAGAGGCAGGACATCTGGGAGGAGGAGTCCCCGCTGTGAACAGCGCCTGATGGGACCGTGGATGCGCAGCGTGCGTGAGTGAAGGAACAGGAGGGGCTTGGCCGGGACCCCACACGCTGTCCTCAGTGCTCGTCACAGACACAAAGACAACTCCGACCCCACCTGGGAGAAGTGGGTCAGCTGCCCAGTGGCTGCAGTGCAAGAGCCGGTGACTCTCCTCTCTCAGGTCGGTGAGCTGATGGTGCTTTCCCTCCCCAGGGGCTGGGAGAAGCAGAAAAAGCCACTCTGAGAAGACTGGCCTGGCATCCTAGCAGCTCCCACCCCGGGTCAGCACAAGGGCACAGGGCTGATCTGAAAGGGGTGCTCCCAGCCCACAGCAATGTGGAATGGACTCCTACAGTCCGTCATGAGGCTTCTCTGCTGGATGTTTCCGACTAAATGGACAGACTTTAAAAGTTACCGATAATTAAAATTACACACTCTGTGACGAGTCCATTGCTCACCCTAAAATTTACACACCTGGAAAACAACTTAGCAAAGAGAAAAGGAAGAGCTCTGGGCATCAAGAAAGACCTGGCAGGAAAACTGGGAACCACAGAGGACCTGGAGAGACTGAGGCCAGCGCAGAGAACGGAAGGAAGGGGTCTAGAAAGCTGACCTCGCCCCAGGGAGGGCCGTCTCTGCCAACTGCAGGGGGCCCGCAGGGTCCGCAGCCCGGGAGCAAAGGCAGTTACTGCAAATGCAGAAGAAAGCGACTCCTCCCGCAGGGCAGGCTAGAGTCGGAGGAGAAGGCCGCCGCCATATACGGGAGGGACTAACCAGGAGCTATTCTGGGAAGGGGTTCGTTGTTTGAAGACTGAACTGCTCCAGGAATCGGAGTCACAGAGCTGCACTTCAGGGTTCCCAGGGTCACCCTACCACAGTGACTGGGCGGAAAGGGGCTAGGCTAGTCACACGCTCCCAAGAACCTTTAGCAGTGGTGTGCTCAGGTGGGTGGGCCACAGTAATGCTACCTCCAGGACGAACAGCCAGGCCAGTGGCATGCATGAGGTTTTCTGAGGGGCTGGCATGAAGCCCAACAGAGTTAATGAACACCTCGATATGTCCAGCACGGAAGTGAGTGGCCCGTTTGCTCGCCCCATCTGCCAACGTGACCAGGGACATTACGCCTCAGCTCGAAGGCCACCACATCCCGGGGTGTCTGGAGCAAGGGGCACCTCACAAGTCCACAGCCTTAACGCTAGGTGGAGACAGCAGCAACCTGGGGTACACAGAGGGACCAGACCCTAAGAGCCACAGGAATGAGTACAGCTCTACAGCACAAACCACAGCCCTGGCTGGCCCTGCCCACAAGGTAGGGTGGGAGGACTCAGCACACACACAGGCAGGTGTGTACACACTCAAGCTCACACGCACACAGTGGGTCTATAAAAAAGGCTTTAGCTGCATCTCACTATGGCCCCCTCATACCTGGTGGATACTCATACCACAGGCTCTGCCAAGCAACCGCGTACCTAAGCACAAGTAAGAATTTTTTTGGACTCATTTTCCCTTTTTCTTTGCAATTTTTTCCCCCTCTGTTTTAATCTTTTCTGAATTTTTTCTTATTATTTTCTATTACATTTACCTAATTCTGTTAACTTTCTTCTATTTAATGGGATTCTTTATCTCACTTTTCTGTCATCTTCCTTTTTCAAATTTTCCTTTTCCCCTTTCCTCACCTCCTCCAGTTTACTGTTACAGTTCAGCTCTCTTAATTCTTAGATATTTAGTTGTCTAAATATCATTACTGCTGAATTCTCTTGCTGAGGGTCTGGCTGTGGCCGTGAGTAGAGACGGATTTCGGTATGTCAGTGTCTGGCCCGTCAATGTCTACGGTGTCACTGTAGCTTTGGTCCCTAGTGACACGGTTACAGCTGTCACTGGTTCTGACATCTGGCAATGTCCAGTTTGCTCTGACCTTGACCACTGCTGGTCTCTACAGCTCCTGCTGTGAAGCGTTTCTTACTGGAGGAGGACTGGATGCTGACTGTGCCACCAACACTACCACAGGCCGTTTCTTCTCCCTGTGTGGCTCCGGGGATCAAGTGCCCAGAACAGGGCTGGACGTCAGGGGGACCTCGGAGAATATGCTGAGTAGGGCGAGGAGGGGCAGACACCAAAGCACAACCCAACACAAGGACACCGCAGCACACCACACGGAGACAGTCTAACTAAAGCGATCTCCACAGCAGGCACAGGTTTCTCTACACAAACGATCTTCAGTCTGCAGCACAAAAACTAGAAATGTGATAAAGCAAAGCAACAAGATGCCACCAAAAACCCTTAGTTCCTCTAAGGATGATCTCATGGATAATAAAATACAGGAAGTTATAGGCAAAGAACTCAAAAACCAAAGGGCCAAAATGTGTGAAGAGTTCAAAGAAGGAACACATAAGCAATTTCACAGTATTTGAAAGCTTAAGAGGATTTTTTTCAAACAAATAAAGGATTTTACTAATAATTTTTTTTTTTTTTTTTGGGTACCGGGGATCGGGGATCGAACTTGGGACCTTGCGCTGGTGAGACAGGCGGCACCACCACTGAGCTACAGCCCCAGCCCCACTAGTAAACCTTTTGATGAGCTTAAAGAAGAAATGAACCTGAGGAAAAAATAAAAACCAAGACATATCATGTAAAGGTACAAGATGCCCATGATAAATGTACTGTTTTTCTATAAGACAAGGATGACCAGTAAGATAAGGAATTAGAAATTATGAAAAGAAATACAAGACATGAAAAATTCAGTGAAAAACACGGCTAGCAGACTGCACCAGTATGGGGATACAGGGCCAGGAACTGAAGGTGGGTGCAGAGCATGAGCTCAACGACACCCTGAAAAAGACAAGACGCCGGGCAAACTGGGCCCCACACCTGCAGGAATAGAGGACGAATCAGAAGATTACACAAAGGCACGAGGAACTTATTAACTGAATCATAGCGGGAAACTTTCCAAATGTAGGGAAAGAATTCAGTGTTTGAGCACCAGAGTCATACAGAACCTCAAATAGCCACAGCCGGAAAAGAACCGTTCCACGACACACCATAATCACACTTCCAGAAAGTCAATGAAA